ACAATGATGTGATGAGTTTTAGGTGACTCACTAATATCAAATGATCCAATACATGACAAAAAAAGCCTCAGAGTATCTCCTGTCTGGCATGTGGATGGGATGATCGTACAGAAGCTTGTTCTGAGAACAGGCTCGTTTTATTCCTGTAGCATCTCAGCACTGCTTTGTTGGCTTGTTTCCTGAAATAATTTGGCACCGGAGCAGTGGGGATCGTCCTCCCCCCAGTTCTTGAAATCTGTGTGCCACTTGTCTGAGTTATCTTTAGAGGCTCTGAGGAAGAAAGGTGCAGCCAGAGGTAGACTCAGATTTTTTCCAACTCCACTGATTGTAACTTAAATGTGGACAGTTTTCTTGCCAAAATTTAAAGTTTTGGATGCTTTTGTGTTCTGCATTCATCAAAAGAGCTGGAAAGTTGATGGCAGTTTATATAGTCTGTAAGCCCAGTGATCCTTCTGTTTTCCTTAGTGAGGCTGTGAAATGTGACTGTGGTGCCATTCACAGCCTGTGAGAAATGGGTGTCTTGTGGATCTATCCTTCCCTTTGCTGGAGTAAAGTAATGTACAGTTCCCTCTTTGACATCAGAGATCCAAGAGGGCAGTACAAGTAAGATGACTGCAGGTAGTATTTTCTTTACCAAGACCTGTCCTTACAGCCTGTTTCTCCTTTCTGTTTTGCTTTCCAGGTTCCCGTAGGAAGCAGTAAACTGTGCTAGCCTTCGCTTTGGTACTGACTCTTCTGTAGCAAACATTACTGGAATTGCCAGGCAACTTTCTCAATTCCTTACCCTATGGGGGGTCCACCTTCCAATCCCAGGATCTCCTTTTTAAGTGTCATCGTATTAATAAGGAACACTTGTTCGTTTCAATTTCTTACTCATATGTGATCACTTAAGCAGTGCAGTACAATCTAGCCGCCACTGAGCTGTGTGAATCAGCTAGCTGATTTAACAGCTCCCTCTTATTCCTTTGAGGCTTTCATTTATTTTTAAACTTTGGCTGGAGTTTTGACAAATAGGACGAGTAGAGATGCACATACAAAAGGGAGAAAAATCCAACATATGAGCTGGGTTATGGCAACGCAGCAGAACATCTCAAGTCCAAGTTCTTTCCATATTAGGATGACTGAGCAAAGAGTTGTTAAAGGGAATGTGTGCTGCTTCTGCTGCTGGATAAGAGAGCTGAGCCAATCTGACAGTCACAGTAGCTTGCAGGAAGGAGAGAGTGTCCTCACAGCGTGTGCCATCCAAAGCTAGAACCTGGGACTGGTGCGGAAGAAATTGCCTCTAGAACAAAACTTCTTAACTGCTGTGTTTCTTTCTAGGGTTTCCAGCAATTTGGTTAGGGCGCGTAACCACGCATTTAGCTCCAGGGTATCGGATAGGACAGTTAAGAGGAAGAACTACTTCAACTGAAATTAGATCTTGTGTGCATGACTTTTAAGGCATGCCAGGGAGTTGATGAAGCTGGGAGTTGTGGATTGGGAATAATCACGCAAGCATATTTCAGTGCCTGCGGGGATCTCTGTGGTCACCTGCTTTGAGCTTCCAGGTGGTACAAGCTAAGGAATTTCACTGAAGCCACAGGGGAGCTACTGTACCTCCTATCTCAGCTGCTGATGCACTTGAGCACAGTAACTTATGTCAGAACATGAGTGTGTCCTGTAAACATAGGATTGAAGGAGGGCCGTATGGGCATAGAGCATGGAATCCAAAAGCTACTGTTAAAAGCAGCTTTGAGGTAGAGACAGAGTGCCAAACAGTCTGCAAAATGTCTCTGCTAACTGCTTCTTCTCTGCACTGCTCTGTCCAGCACCCCAGGCAGGCTCCAGTCAGGTTGAAACTATTGCTCTCCAGGGTACAGCAGTGTATCCAAGTTTAAGTTCTCTGTACACGTCTGCCCATGCACTGCTTTTTTCCTTTATTTTTTCCCCTTTTGATGGCTTGTTTTCCCTCCACTCTTTGAAAATCATTCTGCTTTTGCAGTAACAAGTAGCCTTTTTCCCTTTGCCTTCTGTCATTCCAATTCTTTTGTCTTGCTAACCTTTTTTTTTTTCCCCATGTATTTCCAAGTGCATTTTTAAACTGCAAGGCTGAGTAGCTGGACACTGGCTTGGAGTCTGCCCAGGCAGTACAGGTTAGTTATTCCCTTGGCAGTCTCACTCATGGCAGCAGAGCCTCCTGCGGTGCTCCTGGTGCCCCTGCAGCCCTGCTCCCTTGCAGCCCAGCACAGAGGCTGTCCTGCTGTGCTCTGCTGCTGCTGCTGGTAGCTGCAGTCCTGCTGCTGGCTCTGCTGAGGAGGGCAGGCAGAGCTGAGACTGTGCTCGCTCTTGCCACCGATCTGTGCAGCTGCCTGGGAAAGGAGCCTGACAGCTCTGTGGAGCTTTGTGGAGAGTGAATGCTGGCGTCGAGTCGGATAGGAAGTCGGAAGAGATCGTGGCTCTCTGCTCTTGCACTAATGCACAATTCAAGCCCAAAGGCAGCTGAAAGGCTTTAACTTTGGCTCTTGTCCTTGGTCAGGATAGCTACTGAGACAAATCACTAGGAATATGAGGCAACTCATTTTTCACATAAGTTGCAAGGGCATCATTTAACACTACAGCATGAGCCCGTGCCTTGCCTTGCTCAACAGCTCAAGCTTCCATCTCTTACCCGCCCTGGGATGTTGGCACCAGCTCACTCCCTGTGAAGTACCAGACAGCCCCTGTAGGCCTCTGCTCCAGGCATGCACCAGCCAAAAGTGTTGTGAAGTTAGACTGGATCAGCAGCAACCTGTTAGCTGTGTACCCTTGCTTCCAGCCCATAGGCTTGCTTACCTGCATGAGTCTTCAAGTGAGTCGCAAGCTTTTGCTTGTTTGCTCTTTTTTCTCAGGAAATTTTCCAGCCAGAGGCTAGATTTTACTGTCCTTGCCTTGTGCCCTCTTTTTGTTCCATCTTTGTCCATTCAGAAGTGTTAATGTTGTTTTTAAACGATCAGGAAAAAACAACTTAGACCATATTTTTTTTTGTTAGATAACTTGGGTTAATGTGGCAACCTCATTTGCAATGATTTTGCTTTATAAAAGTTTATTTTTGTATTTCATGTAACAGTCAAAATTTCTACTGCTGAAAATGCCTTTTTTTTTTTTTCGTGTGGGATTTTTCTCCCTCCTTGCCGTTAGAGTGTGTATATTTTTGTGAAATGGATGCCTGGTGGGGTTTTACGTACTAATACTTTTACAAGTACCCCAGCTTGTATCATCAGGGGCACTTAGGAAAATCGGATGGGGAAAAATCCTACCAAATAAGAAAGCAGTTGTGCTTTGTACTGACTGTCCATGGGAAACTGGTGACCCTCTGCACAAGGCAAGGGAAAACCACCAACTAACTCAGCCCTCCCTGGGCTTCTGTAGCTGACTTGCACTGCAGTTGGCTGATGTAACTTCTGTCTTCTTCTATTCAGGAAAGTCGTGAAGGCCCTGAGCCTGCTGACACAGGAAGAACCTATTAAATCAGGAAAGATGCTTAGGAGTATCCAGGCTGTTGACTTCAGTGGGAGTGAGTGGAAATGCTATGAGAGAAAATTATGGTTGATCTTGTTTGGAAGCTGGGTAAAGTCCAAAGAATGCCCCAGTGTCTGCTCCGTGAAGCTGCAGGATCTCCTCAGTGGCCTCCTCGGGCCAGCCAAGCTGCCCAGCTGTGGCACCAAGAAGAGGGAGCTCAAGGGAAGTACCCAGGAGCGTCTGCTACTTCCTTGGATGTTTTCAGGGACTGCTGAATGCTCCGGGGCTGCTTTGCTCTATGTCTTCCCTTAGTGCTTAACTTTTTAGTCTTAATCTTTGCCTTTATTCATTTGCTGTCCCTTGCATTTCTTCTCCTGTTTGATTTTTCTATAGCCCTTGTAAATATGAGGGCCTTGAGGATTTGCTGGAAGGGAGTTGGCACCTCTGTCTACAGGGAGGAAGGCTAAGAATGGTAGCTGAGAAAAGCGTTTAATAAATGGGGGATAAACAGAGCGATTGCTTACCTGACATGCCTTGTGGGCCTCGTGCAGACACGGGGTTCCCGAGGCAAAAGTTGCAACTGGACTTGTCTGTTTAGTAGCCCCTTCCATGGCCCCACTGAAGTCAACAAGAGTTGAGACCAGGGATAAAAAAGGAGCCAATACTTCTTAGAGCTCAGCAGCCACAGCTCTGCTGAGAGTCAGGGAGATGCAAAACCAGCATCACTGAAGCCGTTCTTTTACAAAGGAACAGCCAGAGCAAAATCTCCTATCCATGGCAGAGAAATGTTTAACTTTGTGTGTGTGCGTGTCTTCAATTACCAAGTTTCAGTAGCTCTGCCTATGGTTTTGCTCTGGATGTAACAAGCGTGTCAGAGCTCTTGCAGGAACCCCTGCCCAGGTCACTCAGCTCTTGCATCCCTTTCTTACCATGTGCATTAACAAAACAACAAGCACCGTGTGGAAAGTCCATCACCGTGAAATCCTGGCACTTCCTAACCTCCATAGCAGGCACATCTCACCAGCAAGAGCTCTCGCCGCCACCTCGCCTCCGTCCAAAGCACAGTGGTCCGCAGAAGAGAGGTGAGGCGAACCCGAGTGATCGTGCCTTACGTGCAGGGATACTCGACGTCTTCGACAGTCTGATCTGAGTCACCTTGCTACAAAATAACTGTCTTAAAACTTGGACTGTACAGCTTCCTGCAGTGAGAAGCGGTTGTCGTCACGGGAATAGATCAAACAGGTTAATCTTTTTTTAAAAAACTTCATGGTTTTGAACTTAATGGGGGTGGGAAAATATCAGCTGTTAGGGGATAGGTTAAGTCTCATCATTGAATTTCCTCCTCGTGGGGAGGAAGGGTAGAAGTTGCAAATGCTGCAGTCTGCTTCACTCTGTAAAAGGGATCTTGTATGTACAGTATTTTTATATCTCTGCATTCCCACCTGTCAGGATATGAATCAAGTTTAATAACAATCATAAGAAAAAAAATTTTTTTTTACAGTGCTAGACCTTTGAGTTTTTTATTTTGTGCCAAACTACAGCCACTGTTACATTAGAGGGTATCCGTTCAGTTTATTGATCAATGTGTATATTATATATTTTTTATTATCAAGGTTTTTATTTTACTTCATGTTAACCTGTATGCAAACTAACTGTGGATTGCTAATTTATATACAAGGGGAGCACTTTGGAGACAGTGTGAGGATTCCCCTACTTAGTTTACACTCCTGCAATATAGTGCAGCCAGTCCATAAAACTCATATTCTCTGCAAGAAGTAATTCTCCTGGGCATCTGCCAGCTGAATCAGACTGCTCCTGCTATTCCTCATGGCAGCACTGTTGCTGCAAGGCTGTGTTCAGGTGTAGTAGGAAACAAAGCGCAGCTCAGAGCAGGGACTGACAGGCGACCAAGTTCTCTGCTGTTCTCTTTGTGGCGGTGATGCCCAAGGAGGCAGCTGCTGCAGCAGCAGTTCCCATTTGGGGATGACTTTAAGGCTGCCCTATATCCGTCCCCAGCAGAGGGACTGTTCTGGTTCTGCCCCACTCTCTCTCAATGCTTAGTTTTGCAGTTGCTTTGGGAGGTGGGTGTGGGATACAGCACTGAGGCACAGCAGTGCCCCTCACATAACACACACCACAGGCTGCTTGTCTCTTCTTGTGAAGGACAGGCATATAAACCTACAGAGACTCCAGTTATCTGTACTCTGAAATGTGCCATAACACACTTCTGGCCGTGCAGGGCTGTCGTGGAGGGTTGAGCTGTGCTGCACACATGCCACTTGGACTGCCATGCCTCAGACAGGCTGCACTACACACGTTTTGTGTTGAGAAGCTGCACTGCCCTCAGCCTCTGGGCTGGAAATATCAGCTGCTGCTGCCTCCTCTTGGGTAGCGCAGGGCAAGGCTTAAGCTGTGCAGTTGATGCTCTTCACAGGAGGGTCCCGGAGAGGACAACGGCACACACAAGCAAGTATTTCCTATTTCACAGCAAACAAGTTTCACTGTATCAGTGTTCACTCTTAAGTAGACTCCACAGTGTGTCTCCAGCTGCATCTGCGTACTGCAATATAGCTAACTGCCTCAGAGAGACTGCGGTTGTCTAGTTTAGCTCTTCAGGGTAAGCTTTCAGCCTGTTGAATCTAAATGTTAGCCATACGAGGAGATAGATTAGTGGATTGGTTTAAATTCCTCAGAGCTGCAAAGTGTATCCTGTGTTGCAACAGCTAATTCTTAAATATATAAATCATGCACTGACAATAATCTGTCTATGCAAGCCTCTTCTTTCTTATTTTTGACTGTTCACTCTAATTTAACCAGGTTTGGCATAGAACTTCTGAATGACATTTAACCAAAGTATTGTGTCCGTGTGTGTATAGCATGTTTTGCTTCATACTCCTGAATTCGTTGAATGTAAAGGGAACATTGCCTTGCCCCGTTTTGTTCAATAAACCATTGTATTTTGTTATTGACTGCATCCTTCTGTCCCTCCGTGTGCTTTTCTGGGAACGCTGAATTGGGTTCTTTTCCTTGCTGCGAGTTGGAGACTTGTTTGGTGTGTCCTGTTGGCTGTGCCCCCCGTGGGTTATGCAAGAGAAGGCGAAGGCAGTGCTTCATTCCACCCCTAGCTCCTGGAGCTTAGCTGGTTCTACCAATAATTGTGTTCTTCCAATTTAATAGATGTAGCAAAACAACGATTTGTATTTAATTTGATTATTTTGTGGCCAGAGAGATGGAAAAAGGCTGTGTAATGTCTTGGAAGGGATCTGGACTGTTTCATTTCCTGAGACTGTGATACTGAATAATAAAGCTGTGTAATTATTTGCAAAAGTAAGATACTTTTTTTTCCCTTTCTGTTAACATGGCTTTTAGTTTGCAAAATACCTTCTTAAAGTTTCCCAATAACAGCTTAGACCTGTGGTGGTGTGACAGAAGGCAATAAGAAATCATGACAAATGCTCTGTCTTCAAAGGCAGCAGGTGAGGATACAACCACACAACTCAAACAGGAGCCGACGAAGCCATTTCCAAGTCATGAATTCAGCTTGCAGCAGAACACAAAAGGGCAGGCTACTAAACATTAACTGCAAATCTCCGGTCCAAACTCTAAAACCTTTCTCAGATGTTTATTCACTTGTTCCCCTCTGCTTGCCAGGAACAGCTGTTGCATGGGGGAGCAGAGCACCCTTCGACAACGCAGGGTGCTCCGGGCTGTCCCTGTAGGGGCTTGGGCTCGGGTCTGTGCAGGGATGAGTGCCCTGTCTCCAGCTGAGTTCATTTGGGTATTTTAGGGCCTGTAGAGCACTGCCTGACTGCGTTGAATCGCTTTTACATCATCTTTACCTCCCACCGCCTCCATCTCAGAGTCCCTTAGGTATTGCTAGTGAGCAGAGGCAGGGACCAACAAAACAGATAATTAAAAATACTGGGACATGGCTAGCGGAGGAAGAGCCTGTAAATACAGGGCACTCAGAAGTGCCAAGAGCTCTGCCAACTTACAATTTATTTTAGCCTCCTGTCTGAAATTACTGGGTTGGTCTGTTTCCTTTGAAAGGCTCCTTTCATGCCAGCCTTGGCACTTGGTTAAGCGTTAGGCTGCGCGGGGCTGTGGTGGGAAGGGGGCCAGCTGGAGCCCCGAGCAGCATCTCTCACCTGCTGCGTGAATGCCTGCATGGAGGGTTGTACGTGGGAGCCACAAAAGGAACATTGAAGAGCGCCTGGGGACTTTTAAAAGATTTCTGGCTGTACCAGAGGAATTGCTGATCTCTGGGTTTCCAAGTCATACTCAGCTCAAACTGTACGGATGTGGCTGGTGATCCATCATGCTGCAGGTGATGGATCCAAGTTTCCCCAGGTATTTTCCACCTGTGAGAAAGGTAAGCCAGCAGAGACTGCTTGAAGTCAGCATTGCTGGGTACCCAGCAGCCCAGTTGCCCATTTGGCTGCTCCATCTTGCTCTGCAAAGTAGGATTTGCAGATTGCAGCTGCCATCTCCCACCTGTACACATTCCCTGGTGTTCTTCCACCCGCCAATGACTGTGCCAAATGCCCCTGGTTCATTTTGCTGATGGCAGGCAGCTGCTCTAGCACTGACACCTCAGTTTTCACATTGTCTCCTTTCCCCTGGTGCTGCTCTTGCCTTATTAATCACTCCCCTGAGCTGCCCTTTCCCCAAATCTGTCTTCCTTGCTCAACTCCAATGACTCACTTTGTGGCCTTTCAAGACCCTGCTCCAAGCAAGCAGCCCCTAGCTGGTGCTGGAGCTCCAGCACCACCACGTGATTCCTATTTACATCTTACCAGCATAATGCCACATCACAGGATATTTTCTTCCCTGCCTGTTTTAGATTTGGATGCTGTCCCAACTTCATTAAAACACGGTTGACATATCCAGTGCCTAATTACAAGGGAGAAGAGCATGTTCCTGCCTCACTAGTAGGGTTTCTGACCCGTGCAGCAGGTGAGCTGGTGCAGAAGCACACCAGCACCTGGCCTGAGCACAACCCCAAAACTTACTCCACACTGCAGCCTTCCTCACCTCTTCATCCTCCCCAGGTGCAGGCAGTGCCCATGGCAAGGCCATACGTGTGCTTGTCACTACAGAGTGCTCCAGGGATGTGATTTGTAATTGCCTCCAGCAGAAGTCCAGGTCCTCCTGGTGCTTGCTCCTACCCAGCTCTCCAGACGGCAGGAGTTAATTCAGCTGTGTAAAGGTGCAAGTTAATGCCAGGTTGGCTCTCTGTAGGCTAAGAAACAGCTGATATCTCCCAGCCCTCCTGTTCTCAGTCCTCTGCACTCCCAGCTGGGAAGAGAGCAGCACCCTCACAGGTCCTGAGCAACAGGAACGGCCCCATCAGAAGCAGGTAGGCCCAGCGGGAGGGGGCTTTTCTTCTCTGTGGTCCTCAGGCAGGTTGGATAGAAGTTGTCTGCTGGAAATCAGGATGAGCCACCTGGTGAGACCCCCAAGACCACTCACTGCAACTTGAAATTTGCTTGATGCTCAGCTGGAAGCACTTGGTGTTCCCTAAATATCCTTCGATCTGCTGAAGTGCAGGTGTGCAGATAGAGCAAATCCCCAGAAACAAGGGAAGGTTTCATAACCATATGGGCTACCAAAGCCTGTGACCCAGTCCAGCTATTTTGAACAGAAAATATTCAAAATGAACTGGTAGCCCTAAAAATAATAACCCTAAAAATAATAAAAAAAATAATAATTTTAAAAAATCAACAAGAGGGGATTGGGAGTTCTTGAAGGAATAAAACAAGTAATTTCAAAACAAATTATCACCACTGAGATACTCATGATACTCAGTGTTAGCCATGGCGTGCAATCCAGCCCTTTCTGGTGAGAAGCCTTTCCCCCAGCATATCCCATATAAGAAGCATGAGAACTGCTTGTTGATTCTACCTACTCCTTTTCCTCCCAGCCCAGCTCTTCCCTGAGAAGCGGAAAGCAAAGCAAAAATAAAAGCACGAAAACAAACTTGGAGTAACAAGAAAAATAAAAGATAGCAATGTTGGAGGAAAAAAAAAAAAAAAAAAAAAAAAAAGGAAAAAAAAAAGTGCTAAAAAATGCTTTCTTTCTTTCTTTCCTTTTTTTTTTTTTTTTTTTTTTTAATTATTATTTTTTTATTTTTTTCCACCTGCTCGTGGGAGCAGCACGCCTGATGCCGGGGCTCTCTCTAGCGGCCGGAGCTGAGCAGAGCAGCAGCGGCTGCGCCCCGCATCCCTGGGCTCCGGGCTCCGGGCTCCCTGCTGCCAGAGGGGCTCCTGAAGGGCCCGATCCGGCCTGGGAGCTGTGCTGGGAGCTGTGCTGCTGCCTTGCTCCTTCCAGCCGGAGCCTGGGAGCCCTCTGCTTCTGGTGGCACTGGGCAGGGAGGTCGGTAATGGCTTGGTGGCACCAAGGCTGCCGATCGCTTGCAGGGTGAGGTTTTGGCTGTTTTGCCATTGACGGTGCTGCACTCCAGAACTGTACAGCTTGCGTTCATTTAATTACAGAAATCACGGGCCAGAAACATATTTTTAAATATAAGCCGCTTGTTTGGCAAAGACAAGCACTCAGAAATTAGAAAGTGGCAGACCTCAGATCACCCAGGTGATGCTAATTTAGCTCCTTTGCTGCTTGGGCAAGATCAGGATCAGTGCTTTCCCCTGGGCCTGTGCCTCGCCTGGGGGTGAGCTGGCTGGGTGACAAGCTGCAACTGCTGCACCTGAACAACTTAAACATTTAAAAAATATTTTTTAAAAAAGGCATTAAATAAAACAAAAAAATCCCAGAGAATAAGGAGTCCTGTCTCCTGACATACAACAAAACCACGTATCCACCATCTTACAAGCTCCTGGCACCCTGCAGCAAGTGTCTCCTTACTCTTAGGCCATTTTCACCCGCCCCACTGCCCTGGGACAGGCCCTTTCACACTGGGAAGGATGAAGGATGCTTTCTCCCAGCCCTCAGAGGGATTTAAAGTTCTTTCTGCTTGTGCTGTGAGTATTTTATTCCCCAACCCTCCCCAAAGGATTAGGAATGCTCTTAGAGGCTAAAGTGCATTTCATAGCTTCCCTCCTCACCTAGATGCTTGCATTAGCTGTTGGTGTGAATTGCTTAAGCCTGTGGTTCAAAAAGGAGCAAATGGGTTTCTCTGGTTTGCAGTGCTTTGTTGTGCTTTAGGGATCCTTTTTCTTATCGTGGTGTGAGCCAGACCCTAGAGAAACCTGTGGCTGCTGCTTGTGCGATAACTTAAAGTTTGTTTCCAGAAACTCAGTTTTAGTGCTGTGACTTTTTGCTGCGCAGCACTCAGGGAGCTGCACCAGGCACCATGCATCAAACAGGCTGCCTGAAAACTCGGCCTTGCTGCCCTCTCTCCCAGGGGATCAGCCAGAGGTGGCTCCTGCAGCGCTGTGAGGTCTGGGCTGTTACAGAGCAGTGCCCAGGCCCCACAGCTGCTTGGTTTTGTACGCTGCCAGGGGCTATTTTAAAGCTCCCCTTGATCTACCTGTATCCTGTGGAAGAGAGATGGTCTCTAGCAAAATCCCCACTTAGTGCTGTAAAAGGAGGGCAAAAGGCATTTAAGGAAACCTCCCTGATGCTAAATCATTCCCAGCTTTTCTGTATGCGAAGGCAGAAAAAGCATCGCTGCTGTGAAGGATATGAGGAACTTCCATTGCAGGGGTTACCTGAAAATCCCTCTGTGTTGGGGCTCTACCGTCTTGAGGCAGAAAAACGATCCTTGCCCCATATCATTTGAGGTGTCTGAGCAAGGGGAAGGCAGTCCAGCTGCAGGGATAGCAGCTCTCTAACATCAGCTCTTACTGGTGTTTTCGCTGCTTTAAGTTTGCTTTGGTGTAAAAGCACAGCTGTAATATTTATTTATTTATTTATTTTTCCTGAATCCCATGGTCTTAAGCACATAACTGTTCTTGTAATTTGCCCTTCTTCCTTTTTGCAGTATTTACCCTTTACAGCTTAATTGGGTTCTGTATTACTGAAGGCTGCTTGCTACTTAAAGGACATTAGAGAGTTGCATTGAAATATTTATGTCCAGTGCATTACTTCATTAAGGAAATGATCTAAAATGAATGAAGATTGAATTATGCCCAAAATGCCCTATAAAACTGGATGCCGACTGATTACTTAATGGTTCTCCTGATACATGATGCATTAGAGGTCTATGTTGCCTTTAATTTTTCATGGGCTGAACTGTCTTACAGCAACCCCAGCCTGTTGGTTAATGGCATTTCCTTGTAACAAAAAGCTTTGTTCCTTTTTGCCTTGACATGAGTGGTGTTTTCATGATATATGAATTGAGGTGCCAAAATATGTTTTGTGCTTGAGAATGTAACTGAGGTTCCTAAAGGGATCATTCCCATTTTGGAGCTAGGAAGAACAGTTCAGAAGACACATCTGTAGCTCAGGAGAGCCCTTCAGATGCATTTTCCATGTAGCAGTGTGCATATAAGCAGTCTTTCCAGCTTACCAGTGTGTGGTAAAAGAATGATTCTGTGATTAAGAATGAAAGAGCTTAATTTGGTGCTAAGCACTCAACAGAATGTTTGGGCAGCAAAGAGCTTATCCAAACCTGAAAGGGCTTTTAGCAAGCTCACCTTTGCTTGGTCTTCAAGGCTGGAGAATGAATTCTTCCAGCTGTGAGCAGCTAATGCAAATATTAATACACATATTACAGGATGCAAAGAAGCAGCACTGCAATACGTATTTCAGACACGACTGTCCTTCTTTGTGCATTCCTTTTGCTTCTGGAATCTTCCTTCTATTTTTTACGTTCCTAATGAAAGTCATTATAGATTTGCATTGTGGAGAAACTCCAGCCCATGAACACTGGAAAAAGCTCAGATTGAACCTGGGAACAGCAGAGCCTGCAATAGTGTACCCGAACCTGCATTTTCCCTATGGAGGGACCTGGACACCTACATACAGTGCTGTCCTGGCTTTCTGCAGAAGTTTTTGAACCTTCATTAGTACAAAGGAAAATGTACTTTGTTTAACAGAAACATCTTGTCTTAACAGAAATGTCAGCCCTGTTTTCTTTCTGGCCTGACCCTTAATCTTGGTCTCATGCACTAGGGAAATCCAATCCTTGCAAAGTCAATTTTATTAATTGATGTTTATTGGATTATCTTTAAAATCAAATGAGCTTTAGGTGGGTGAGCTGGAAAATAAAGAGCAGGCAGGAAGGAGGTTCAGTTCAGCACAATCCCTTTGCTAGTAAAATGTAGCTCCTGAGGAGCCTGAATTTCTCCACTGCTAGGGGTAACAGTGGCAGAAAATGTAGGATTGGGGGCAGGAGAGCTGGGTTCATCTGACAGATCAATGCGAACTCCTGGGCAGAGTTAAGGGTGTAAGCATAGAGTTCTGCACCAGGAGGTTCCTGACCCCCAGCAAGGATTAGGTAACAATTTGCCAGCACCAGGCTTCTCCTGGTGAAATCTGGTATTTTGGTGGTATGATTTAGAAACTGAGTACATTGACATGCTTGGGGTTATTCACCAGGAAATGCGGTACATGGGTGTGTGTGTCTGGCTCAGGCTGGCATCTGTTTTCATGGTTTGAGGGCATTTAGATTCCCCCAGGCAGCATCCAAGGCACTAGTGCATCAGTTTTCTGCATCCAAAATGTAGGTGGTTAGGCAGTTGGAAATCTGTGTTTTAATCCATCTGCTCACTGAGCTACAAAGCTATGTCTCCTTTGTGCCAGGAGAGTGTGCTGGCTACACAAGTTTAGTTTGACAAGACTGTGCTCTGCAGTGCTTGCTGATCAAGCTCTGCTGCCCTGTGGTGAACTGAGCACTCCCAGGGCCAGGGGGAGCGTACAGCCTCCCTAGGAAGGAGGAAGCCCTGGACCAGTTCTGCTTCTGTAGTGATTCATGTATTTGATGCTGTCACTGCACTATATCCTGAAATATCCTGGCTGTAGGGACCAAGGTGGACGTTTCAGAGAGCCCAGTTCTTGGGCAGGTGGCTCCTGTTGGCATTTCCATGGCTTCCTAGGCTTGTTGCTGGCTGTGCTCGGAGCCTCTTCTGGGTGCTGGCACGCGGGGAGCCTCGGAAGCAAATGGGTGTATGCAGTGGCCAAACAACCAGCAACTGTGTGGGTGCTCACAGGGGGAAAAGAGTTGGGTCTCGCACAAAGAGGGAGATGACGAGTCAGGGTTATTGCAGCTGTGCAGAGTGGGACACAGTGGAAAAGGATGCAAATGCAAAAGAAAGCAAATTAGCATTTTTATTATCCTGCCTCTAGAATAAACTGGGGTTTTTGCTTTGCCTTCGTGGGGAATAGGGAATATCTACTCCTTGTCTTGCAATTCAATGAAAACCCAAAGCACATCATCTGACTCCTGACAGCTTGAGATTTTTAACAGAGCAAATAAGGCAACATGTTTCTTTTTTCTTTTTCATTTTTTTTTTCAAAGTCAAAAAAGGACTTGGGATTTGTGGTGAAAGTTATTAATAAAAAGTGTTCTCTGGGGCAGCAAATTCAGAGGTTGCCTCATCAGACAGTAATTACCAGCCCAGCACCACCATTCCTGAGACAATTGAAATTTAGCCTCCTGACAAAAAATTGATTTTGAAGATTAATTGTCCCCTGTAGCACAGTTTTAGTCCAATCTGAAATACAGAGAGGACAATTGTCCTCTGAGTTTAATAGAGCTGTCTCTCTTTGATATTCACAGGGCTGGAGAAACTCTCCTGGGAGGAAATACTTTTTGGAGGGATATATTTTTTTCCTTGTCTGGAAAAAGTTCAGGTGGTGGAAAAAGTCTGTCAGTGTCCTCTGA